CTAAATAGCTTATCAGCACAAATGTTAACATAAAACCATCTTTTTTCTCTTTCCCTATAAACTTGGTTTTTCTCTTTAACAGTCCTATTGATACCTTGGACCAAATGACTCTTTTGTGGGACTTTCCTGTGCTTAGAGGGATGTTGAGCAGTATCCCTGGTCTATGGCCACAACAACCAAAAATGTGTTTAGATATTGTCAGATGCCACTGGGAGATAAAATTGATCCTTGACAGAGAGCTACTGTTCCAGATCTGTACAATGTTAATATCAAATAAAAGCCAAAGTTATAACATCGTTCCACACGTTTGTCAACAACATGTCAGAAACCTTTGGCCTTCACTTTCTATGACACAGGTTTCTCAGAGACCCCAGGCTGTGAAATGTAAGTTCTCAGCCTCTGTGCATTTAAATGTGTGATTTATTGTGTTCTGTGTGTAATGCTGCCTGCCCACTGTGCACCCTCACTTTCATTCTGGCTACAGTGAATTGATTAGCAAGCCTAAACGGGGAGGCATTGAGAGCTCTCTTGACTCTGCTGGATGGTGGGCACACCCCTCTTGTTCGGAAGTTGCTGAATAATAATCCACTTTTCCAAAGAGAGGCCAAACTATAGAGGGGATAGAATTAAAAATAGCAAGTAACATATTCTGGTAACCACAGTAGCCAATTTGACTCTGTCTGGGCTTTTTGGAGAAAGAACCTGCAGTTTTAACAAACCCCTCTTATGTCTGGGTTAATCAATGCTCTTGTGGTCAATCAGAGGTTTGACTGATACTTTCATGCTGGTAGAGCAACTTTGCTGGCTAAGAATAGAATAATAACACACAGAAGGGATAATAATAGACAGATGCAATTCTAATGGCCACAGCCTTCAGCGCAGAGAGCTTGTCAACCTTGGTTAGGGAGTTAGCAGGCTGATTTCTTTTTAATTTGGGTATGTGCCACCTAGGATTTCACTTGTATTTTGCATGGTGTAATGACCTGGCTGAGGAACTATATATCAAGTGACTCTCAGAAAATTTGAATATAATGTTTTCTCACTGTTTGGGGGCAGTTATTCTTGGTCCACTTGCAGAGGCTCTCATGAAATTGGATTTAACAGTTCATCTTTAGAAAGATCACTTTCTAATGATTAACTTGGCACTGACTTCGAGTTGTTTTGTTCTTTATTTCCTTCTTGTTATTCCAAATACATCCTCCTATGTCAGGGAAACTCACCCTCCCTTTCCTATGGAAATACTGAAGGGTTTTACTTCTCTATGTGGCAGGTAGACTCTTGGGCTTGTTTTGGTCTTGGCATCTCCACAAAGAAATTTCATTTCTCTTCTTATCCCCCTTTTTCTCCTTAGGCCAGGAACATCTCAGTTCTGTGCAGCAGATGGATAAATGTTAGCTGCCACTTCAACTCAAGAACTGCTTTCCTTAGTATTCAAACTGGAGACCAAAGGGTTGCATTATGTTTGCAAGACAAACACATCAAGATCTAACCCTTCAAAGCTGCCAGATTTTTATAAAAGTTCACAAATCCAGCATATTCCTCCTCTTCCATTAAAGAAGTTAGGGGATGGAACTTGGGAGATGTCAGAAAATTTGTCTGTGTTCATGAGTGTAGATTTATGCTACATGGAGGTCGCATCTGTGAGGGGTGTGTTGTGGGCCCTGTCTAACATGGATACACATGGTTGTGACATATGCTATAAGTTTATCTCTTTCTTGGAAGTCTTTCTTCTATATTAAAACCAGATTTTATTATGTGTATATTTTGATTTATTTTATAAAATGCAGTACAATAGCAAATGATATTATTTGAAGCCTAGCATGCAGTAAGGAAATTACATGGAGAGGATCGCAAGGCTAGTGTGGTGGTTTGAACAGGTATGGCCCCCGTAGACTCTTGTGTTTGAATGCCTGGCCCACAGGGAATGGCACTATTAGGAGGTATAGCCTTGTTGGAATAGGTGTGGCCTTGTTGGAGGAAGTGTGGCACTGTGGGGGTGGACTTTGAGGTCTCAAGCTCAAGTTTTGCCAGTGTTTTCTCAGTCTCCTGCTTCCTGTGGCTTAACATGTAGAACTCCTCAGCTCCTTCTCCAGCACTACAACATCTGCTTGCATGCCACCCTATTTCTCAATATGACCATAATGGACTAAATCTCTGAAACTGTAAGCCAGCCCCAATTAAATATTTTCCTTTTAAGAGTTGCCATAGTCATGGTATCTCTTCACAGCAATAGAAACCCTGACCAAGACAGCTAATTTATTTGATGGAACTACCACAAAGAATAATAACTATTGGGCACAATTTAATCTGAGAGTTAATTGCTGCTTGCTTATTTATTTGAAAATGGTATGTAACATACTTGGAAACCAAATTCAAGTGCAGTTTCTATTTGCTTTTCAATCATGGAGTAGTTAGAACCAATTTAGGCCTTCAAAATTGAAAGCACTTTGGATTTGTTTGGGTTGAAATACTACTATGGACTAAACAGATTTCAAACTAATCTTGGAGGAGCCACGTTCTGAATTGCCTGCAGGAGAGCTATGTGTAAAAGCAGTTTTTTGAAGCTTTTCATCCCCAGTCTTTTATAATTAAAAGAATGATAAGAATCACATTCTAAGTGACAGGGTAAGGATTTGTTTTGAGTAAAGGTAGCTTATAGGTTTAATGCAGGTCTGGGCAAGAGCTCAGTAATAGAATACTTGCTTGGCAAACTCTAGGCTTGGGTTCAATTTCTAGCACTGCCAAAATTTGTTTTTAGCACAAAAATAAGAATTCATTCATTAAGTTTTCCCCCCACTGTAGGGTAGGATCTATAACTCAACTTTGTCAGACAAGAGTTTTTTCTGTCAGACCATGATATGCAATTCCGTTAGATGCTAAAAGTTTGTCAATGAGTTTGCATCCACAACAGAGCCTTCATACACAGTACAAGATGCCCTGTTTATGCACTGTTATTTGAGGAAGTGACTAGAAGCAGATCTGCTGGATTAATGAAATTCCAGTCATCATCTGCAAAACATTTCCTCAGACTTGGTTTCCTTCATGGCTCTTTTTTTGCCCTCACCTGGCGCCTTGTTTCACATTTGCCCATTACAAATCTCAGATTGCAGTGAGTCAGAGAAAGGCTTGTTCTCTTGTATGGAAAAATTGCTCTATAAAAGTGATGGACCTGGGAAAAGGACTCTGAACTCCAGCATGCTCATTAACGTAATATAAAGATGGACTTCAAAATGTTCCCCAAGGATGCGAAACGTAAGAGATCTGAGGGAGCTTCACTAACAACTGTCCCACTAGACTACAGAATGCTGTGGGTCATCTTCATTCACCTCTGTTCTAGCCTCTAGGTTCTTCACTGAGGTTGGACGGGGGCGTGGCCTCTGCAGTATTGGCAAGCCTTGGGGATGGAAAGGGAGACTGCTTAATTCTGGGATGTGGCTCTCCCACCACTTTGTGTTACTTTGTAAACGGTGTCTCACTTGTGATGGCTGGATTTTGGAGAGCAGACAGCACACTGCGATTTGACCTTGGCCCTGATACTTTCCCTTCAGTGGCTGCTGCTGCTGTTTCCTGGCTGGTATTTATCTGCTAAGAGCCTGTCCTCTAGACCTTGACTGAAGTAAAAATATTAAACTACACAAATTTAGGGATGTCCTATGATATTTATTGAAAGAGAAATAACTGACGTGAAAAGCCAAGAAAGCTGAGAACCGAAGGTCCCTACGCTGCTCTCCAGGTCGAAACCGAAACCCAAAGAGAGAGCGTCTCCTCCCCCTCACCTCTATTTACCCTGTACATTCTATGTACCTGTGAACACACCCACACGGGAGTGGTCAGTGCTTACGGATACTTAAAACCACAACCTACAATTCCCCCTTTAGTCTAAAGAAAAGATTTAGACTTAAAACAAAACTAAATTTTGTTTTAATGTCTCAAATGTTAAATGTCTCAAACATATATAAAGCATATATACATAAAAGATAATAAAAAATTATAATCTACCTATTTCCTATCCTAAGCATATCTACCCATCTAAACCTAAACTTATTTGAAAGCGATGCCCAAGTCTGAACACCTCCTTCCAATCCCAACCCTAAAATAATTGAAAACTATCATTAACAGGTGTAAACTATTCTGCAATATCAACAGTAGGGAAAGATAGTGTAGTATTCTCAAAATTACTTTCTGTTGAAATGGGATGACGATAAACTCATGGGATGTAGGAAAAAATGTTAGTGTAACACAAGTCTCATTTGCATTCAGTCTCTGTTGGTGGGATAAGCTTGATTGAAATTCTAATGTTGACTGAAGCTCTTGTCTGATACTCTGGTCAGATTGTAGAAGGTGTACCATATCAGTTCACTGGTCCGGAGTTGTGTTAAGCTATGTAGTTCCAAACCAGTTTCAGGATGGTACTTGTCAGGTGGAGTCAATGATGTGGGGCAGTTCAGATGCATTAAGTCGGATCAGGTGGAGTCGATGAAGTTGGGCCCCATTTTCTTTCCAAGGTGTTTAAAGATTGTTGTTAGGAAATTCCTTATTTTCTGGAAAACTCAAACATTAATGTTAACAGAGAAAATTTCAACTTTTATATGTATGCATACTGGGAAAGACAACAAACAATAAGGAAGATAGTGAACGTGAGGGAAAATTAGACTTTCAGTAAAGGAACCGAGTATAAACAGATGACAGTCCCTAGTTTTGTTTTCTTCTGTCTTATGTCAATGACTCTTTGATATAATACAGAAATTCTGAATTTTATTTTAACAACATGCTTGGACTTAGAGTAGGAGAGCCAATCCAACTCCAAAGACAGCTTCAGTTAAATGAATTGGGACTAAAAGAGTTTTAGGAAGTAAAGAGAAATAGATATTATAAGGATGAAATTAAGAGAATTAGACATTGATACAAACATTAGATTCTTCTTCGTTTGATGGTTCTTTGGGTAGCCATCCTCTCTTCTTCAGGTATCCATATGCTCAGTATTTTTTCACTGTTTGGAGATGGGTTTTCCTGTGAAGACAAAAACAAAATACTTCCCTTTCCCTTTATGAGGTCTCCTTACACATAGTAGAATATGACCTTGTGGATGAGCTGTCATCTTTCCTCCTCCTGAGGTTTCTCCTGCTCAGATTGAAGCTTGATCAATTTTGACAGAATCCAAAGTTTTTCTTCTATGGAAACAAAGGCAAAACTCCTTCCCCAAAGTAACACATATCCTGGTTTCCAAACTGAGGTCATAATCCTTGAAATACGTTGGTTGGTTTAGTTCAAAAGTTTTTGCTGTAGTCCAGTGTCTTTCTGCTGCTGTTTGTCCTTTCTCATTAGCATTAAGAAAGTTCAATGTTAGTAAAGCATTATGTAATCTATGTTTGGGGGTCCTTGTCCCCCATGGCTGTTTATGAAACATTTCTTTTAAGGTGCAGTTAGATGTCTCAACCACTGCTTGTCCTGTAGGATTGTTAGGTATACCAGTTACATGTTTTATGCTATAATATTTGAGAAACTGTTCTGATTTGCTGGAGACATATGCTGGAGCAATTGTCAGTTTTTATTTGTGCAGGTATACCCATAACAGCCATCACGTCTAACAGGAGGAATGTTAATCTGGGACTTCCATTGCTGTAATAAATCACGACCCCAGAGATTTATAGCAATATCTGTGACATATGGCCTCAGTTTTTCTTTTTGCCTTTCGGGCCCTATACACTCAACCCAACTTGTTCTTTGTTTTACTTGAGATAGGGTTTCAATCCCTAAAAACTGAACATTTGCTTCTTTTAAGGGCCAACTTGAGGGCCAAAATTTTTGAGTTATGATGGTCATATCAGAACCAGTGTCTAGAATTCAGAAAATACCTTATTCAATTGAACTGGTACTTTGGGTCTGTGATCCTGTATAGAAGTTTGCCAAAATATACGTTTTTAGTTTCCTCGAGTATTGACTGATTGATCCTCAATAACTAATTTGTCATCCACAGTGCTATTATTGTTTACTATAGGCAATGGATCTTCTAATTGTCCTGAGAGAAACTGTCTTCTACAGTGACTGGGAATGACCAGACCACTTTTGACATGAGGAACTTCAAGAGGCCCCTTGAGGAGTTTCGAGATTATAAAGGGTTTCCTTGTTTGTCTGTGGTCTACCTACCTTCATTGGTCCAGTGTCAGCCTTTGCCACATGGTCTGCGTAATCCAGAAGGCTGAGGTCTTCCATTTGAATTATTCCTAGGAGGAGCATTATTTCTAGGAATGTTTTGTCTACAGTTCCTACTCAGATGTCCTATTCTACCACAGTTAAAACATCTGGTGTTATGATGTCTTTTTAAACTTCTGGAGATTGCCTTTCCAACCCAAGTCTTATCTCCTCATGATTAAGGCATTTGTCATCCTGGTGACTCTTTAGACCTTTAGAAATTGCCTCTCCTACCCAGGTTCCTGTATCTTGATCATTATACTCAATATTAGCTGTATACAAGACCCATTCATCCAATGGTGCTGATCTGAATTTTAATGGCCACAGTACCTGTTTTCATTGTGGATTTGCATTCTCATAGGCTAAAGATTCTGTAAGGAGTCACCTAGTATTTTAATCAGTTACCTGTAAGTCTACTGCTCTGGATAATCTTTGTAAGAATTCAGGGAACCTTTCTCTAGGACCCTGTACCATTTTTGAATATGGTTCAATTTTTTTCTCTTGGTTCATGAACCTTCTTAAAAGCATTCAGAGCTGCTGTATGACATAAATATATTTGAGGTATGTTATAATCCTCTCCCATGATGTCATTCATGTAATAAGCAACGAGATCTCTAACATTGTAAGATTATATGCCATGGTATAGAGTAGGTAATCTTATCACAAACTTAACTACCAGAATGCAAAATTTTACTCCAATGATCTTCAGTTAAGAAAAGAATGTTTACCTGCAATGACTATACTTGGCCAGCAGATGGCACAGGTGTGCTGCCAAACACAGCTCCTCCCAAAACCTCCATATTTTTCCAAGTAATAGCTGAAAGATTCGAAATAGCTCATACAGAAAATCAGCAAACAGTTTCAGGGAGGGAAAAGCCTGTGCAGATTGGGAGACCCTTGGCCAGATAATAGTCGTAAAATTTTTCAGGTGGAACAAGGAATGCAAACCGCACTGCGAGCTGCCTGGTGAAATTCTCAAGGTTCTGCTCTAGTAGAGGAAGCACATTCAGGCCTGCAGGCTGGGGGTGGGTGGGTGTGGGGTGTGGATTCACCCCACTTGGTTGCAGGTTCGGGAGAGGGAGGGCACAGGGCTAGCAGAGCAAACAGGGCCTGGCTTACCGGTGATTTGTGCCCTGCAGGCGACAGAGAAAGTCCCCACAACGGCTCAGCGAGACTTCCTAGCACAGCAGGGAGGGGAGGGGTTAGAATGGCTCTGAAGCGGAGCTAGAGAAAAATGAAACGACTGCGCTGCAGCTTTTCAGGACACCGAGGCACCCAGGGGGCTTGCCTCACTGAGCCGAGTTTTGGGGGCTGGGTGAATCACTCTGACACCAGCTGAAGCAGAAATACTAAACTGCACATATTTAGGGATGTCTTATGATATTTATTGAAAGAGAAATCACTTATGTTAAAAGCCAATAAAGCAGAGAACCAAAGGTCCCTACGCTGCTCTCCAGTTCGAAACCGAAACCCAAAGAGATAGCGTCTCCTCTTCCTCGCCTCTATTTACCCAGTACATTCTACGTACCTGTGAACACATCCACATAGGAATGGTCAGCTCAGCGCTTACTGATATGTAAAATCACTCCCTACATTCAACTTTTTTTTGTTGTTGATTTTCCGGGACAGGGTTCTCTGTATAGCTTTATAGACCAGGCTGGCCTTGAAACTCACAGAGTTTGGCCTGCCTCTGCTCTGCCTCCTGAGTGCTGGGATTAAAAGCCTGTGCCACCACTGCCTGGCTAGTCCTCGACATTTTAAGTACAAATCTCTTGCGTGGTATTTTCCTCTCTAGTTTATCCTATGTCTAGTATAAAGATCAGCTTAATAAACACTTGATCTATAGTTTTGACTGACTAGCGGACAAACAAGTTACAAGAATAGTTACCAGGTCAAATCTTCCCCTGAACTCTTAGGGGAAGTGCCTCAGATGTTACAAGGCAATCAGAATGCCTATATATCCCGACTGTCAATTTTACTCATTGTCTCGTTTTAGTAATATGTTCCTCATTAACATGGGTGGCTTGCTATCTGGAGGCTTCTTTTATCAGAAAAAGCTATATTAAGTACTTCAGTCTCTTCTAAATCACAGGGCAGCCAAATCACTACAGAGACATATGAATATTCAATGGCCGTTCAGAGAGATGACAAAATGCAGAGGCACAGAGGGGTAGTGAGAAACAGACAACAGGGGAAAGAATCATCTGTAGGGATAGAGTCAAAGGTAAGCAGTGGGTGAAGATGCTTTTTCTCTGCTCACATTCTTTCCCTTTCCATCCACGGGGAAGATCTTTTCAGGGCAGGCACAAAGCCGTCTTGCCCTATTTTCAGCAAAGATACTTCCTGCCGGCTCAACACCAGGGTCATCAGAACAGAGACATGTCTGATGAAACAGGACTCTGCTGTTTGGATAGATTGTGTTAACTACAAACATATGCTACCTGGGAAGGGTTTCTTAGATGACAGCCCAAAGCATCTTTCCTTTGAACATTTTTACTTTGCATTCAAACTGCTTTTTTTTTCTGATCTGTTTTTTTCCTTTTAGTACCTTGAAATTCCCTTATTACCAAAGACCAGAGACAGCACTCTCATTCTGGAACTGTGTGTGTCCTTTCTATTGTTTCTGGTTATCAGTGATTTTACTCCAAACAGCACAGGAAACTATGTGCTCAGCTTCCTCCTCCTCCACTGATTCTGAAATCACTTGGTTTGCCACAGGGACAGACAGAGAAGAAATGCTGGCAACATTTTCCATTTCTTCCATGATTTACCTCTGTTTCTAAAGTGTAACTTCTGAATTTTGTTTCTTCCTGGCAGTTATTTTGGTCCATGGGGGGAATGGCCAGGAGCTAGGAAGCTAACAAAATGCATATTGTAGAGTGTATGTCATAAGGACTCTAATTGGAGTTTTTTTCAGAGTTTTACATTGTTAAGGTGGTGGTGATGGTGAGAGAAAGGTGGCAGGCAGATGCCTTTAGAATTGCTTTGGCTCGTATGATTTTAACGAAAATATTATAATACAAGTCCCTGTGTAGATATAAAAGAACTGTGTGTGTGTGTGTGTGTGTGTGTTTGTGTGTACTCATGAAACATACATATTGTGTGTGTGTAGGTTAGAGGACAATGTCGGTGTTGGTCCTTGGATACCTTCCACTTTCTGTTTGACATAGTGTCTCTCCTGGCCTGGAACTTCCCGGTGTAGACCAGGCTAGCTGGACTGAGAACTTCTGGGCTCTGTCTCTCTCTTCCTTCCATCTCACTGAGGTTACACGCTGTCGTGCCTAGCTTTTTATATGGATTCTAGAGAGCCAAACTCATGTAGCCATGCTTATGAGGCAAGTGCTTTGAGCTATCTTTCAACCCCCTGACAACTATGTAAAACTGCATCTAAACTGGACATGTGAAGATTTGTTTTCTTTTTAGCATCCCTTAAATAATCTAGCGTAACAACTGTATAGTATTTATAGTTTATAAGATACTGTGAGAAATCTAGAGATGTCTAGGAGTCTAAGGGCACATGATGGCTAATCTCCACATTCAACTCCAGTGGATTTAGAATCACACAGAATACACATATTTGGGATATCTGGGAGGGTTTCTTCAGAAGAGTTTTAATCAAGCAGAGAAGACCCACGCTGAATGTAAGTGGCGCCATGCCAGAGGCTGGGGTCCCAGACAAAGGAAAAAGAGGAAATGTGAAAAGCAAACTGAATTTTGATTTTTCTTTCTCTTTTCCTGTTGGTACCATGAGCCAAATTGGTCCTGTGGCCGTGCCTTCTTTGCCATATTGACAGCATCCCTTGGAACTAGGAGGCAAAACAAATTCCTCCTCCTGTAAGTTGCTTTCTTGTCAATATTTGGTTACATCAATGAGGAAAGTTAATGAATACAGAAAACTGGTGCTTCTAGTAGAATAGTTTCTGTAACCACTTGAATGTGGCCATTGGAATTGCTTAGCAGGAGAGATTTGTAAGAGTTTGTTTCCAAGCCTGGAGACACTCTAGACTGATAAGAAAAGCTTGAAGGATACTTGCTCAACTGTATTCATAGAAGCTTTCTTTCTTTTAAAAATTTTTTTATTCATCATTTAAAAAATTCATTTTACATACCAATCACAGTTTCCCCCTCCCTCCTCTTCTACCATTCTCTCACCCTACCTCCATTCTAACCTCCCAATCCACTCCTCCTCCATCTCCATTCAGATGGGGTAAGACCTCCCATGGGAATCAACAAAGCATGCCAAGTTGAGGCAGGACCAAGCTCCTCATCCCTGCATCAAAGCTAAACAAGACATCCCACCATTGGGATAGGTTCCAAAGAGCCAGTGCATGCACCACAGACGCGTCCTTGTCCCACTGCTAGGGGCCCCACAAAAGACCAAGCTACACAACTATTACCCAGATGCAGAGGGCCTAGTTCGGTCCCATGCTGGTTCCCTAGTTGTTTGTCCAGAGTCCGTGAGCTCCCATAAGCTCAGATCAGCTGTCATTGTGGATTTCTGTGTCATGATCTTGAACCCCCCCCCCCCCACAACTTGCTCAGACAATCCCTCCACCCTCTCTTCAACTGGGCTCTTGTAGCTTGACCCATGGCTGTGGATCTCTGCATCTACTTCCATCAGGTACTGGATAAAGGTTTTATGATGGCAGTTAGGGTAGGAAACTTTATTTGTAATAGCCAGAAACTGGAAATAACCTAGGTGTCCCTCAGCTGAGGAATGAACAAAGAAAATATGGTACATTTACATATTGGAGTATTACTTAGCTGTAAAAAAGAATGACATTATGAAATTTGTAGGCAAGTGAATGGAACTAGAAAAAAATAATCTAGAGTGAGGTAACCCAGACCCAGAAGGACAAACATGTTATGTAGTCACTTATAAGTGAATACTAGCTGTTTAATAAAGGATAATCATACTGCAATTCACAGACCCAGAGAGGCTAAGTAACAAGGAGGGCTCAAGGGGGAATGCATGGATCTCTCTGGAAAGGGGAAATAGAATAGATTTTGTAGGTGCACTGGGGGCAGGTGGGGATGGGAACAGGAGTGATCAGGTCAGGGGGATGGAGGGAGAGTATACTGGGAAAGACTACTGGAATGGGGGGGGCTTCTGGAGCAATGTGGAAACCTATTACAATGGACACTTCCTGGAATCTATGAGGATTACACTAGAGAAGACACCTAGTAATGAGAGATACAGAACCTGAACAGCCTATCTTCTGTAACCAGACAAGGCTTCCAGTAGTGGGACTGAGATACCAACATGGCCACAAAATCTTTGACATACAATTTGTTCTGCTTTCAAGATATTCTGGGATAAAGGTGGCACAGAACTTTTGGGAGTGGCCAACCAATGACAGGTCCAGCTTGAGACCCATGCCTGACACTGTTGATGACCAGGAACCAGAGGTTGGACAGCACAGAGACCCAGGATAGAACCAAACAAGACTGGTAAAAATCCAATGTAATGATTCTTAATGATGTTCTGCTATAATCATAGATTGCTATGTAGTGTAATTGTCATCAGAGAGGCTTTATCTAGCAACTAATGGGAGCAGATGCAGACTCCCACAGCCCAAAGTTAGGCAGAGCTTGGGGAATCCCTGGTAAGAGGTGGAGGAAGGAATGTAGGAGCCAGAACACAGTATACAGAATCAACTAACCAGGGCTCAAAGGGGCTCACAGAGATTGAAGTGATAATCAGGAGTATGTGCTAGGTTCTCTGCACATATTTTATGGTTGTGTAGCTTGACATTCTGTGAGACTCCAACAGTGGGAGTGAGGGATGTCTCTGAGATGTTTTCCTGCTCTTGGTTCCCTTTTCCTCCTACTGGATTGCCTCATCCAGCCTTGATATGAAAGTACGTGCCTACTCTTATTGTAATTTGTTATGCCGTGTTTGGTTGGTATCCCTGGGAGGCCTGATTGTTTCTGAAGGGAAATGAAGGAAGAGTGAATCTGGGGGAGAAAGGAAATGTAGGAGTGCTGGGAGGAGAGGAGGGAGTGGAAACTGTAGTTAGGATGTATTATATGAGAAAAGAATAAATAAATTTAGAAAAGAGAAGAGCTTCATGGGGTGAATATGGAAGAACAGCATGCCAATAAGTTGTTATAGAATGTGTTGATCCAAGAGCAGAATGAGAACTCTGTTGGAATTGGACCAGAGGTCCTTCATGTTGCATTTTGTCAAGAAATCTGGGTGCATTATGTGCATG